CTTCTTGATGTAAGTGTAACGTAAGCGTAAGGACCTGGCTTTCCTTTTGTTTTATATCGCATTCCAATTCGTTGAATTTATTTATTTTTATTTCTTTTCTTAGAGCATAATAATTTCGATAACATATCATCGTCTTTTGGTTCCTTGTTGAACTTAACTTCCTAGACCGTGTGTAAAACTAACTTAAATGGTATGATCGGTAATTGATCATACCAAAATCAATATCTTATCGAATTCTGTCGATTAAATTTTATAATAAAATCATCTTTATACTCAGATTAAATAAAGCAAGTGAAATGGCTTAAAGAGTATTGTCACGAAGATTACAATAGACTAACTAATAGAATATTCCTTTTCTTATTTGCTGATTTTTACCCCTGCTAATTCATCCTTTTTAATTCCAAATCCGAAAAACAGAATAAATAAAATTATTAAGAAAATATTTATTTTATATTATTTAAAGTAATATAAATCTTAATCTTTTTCTTCTCTTCCTGACTTGCGAGAAGGGCGGCGCTCTACGAAGGTTAAACAATGATTAGAAACTAAAAGAGTGTGACAATTAAGACATTCTTTATAAGATTTTTCTTCAACAAATTCGACGAATGCACAAGACTACATATCCAAAAAAAAAAGTCGAAAATTATTCAATAAATGATAAATATAGTTAAATGAAATTTATGACTTACTTTATTGTAAATAACATCAAGATATTTAATATGACCAAAGGTGCCGAGTGAAGATCTCAATTGGTCATAGTTCAATTTTTGAGTGACCCCTTTAACGTAGATAGAGAAGTTTGTATCTTATAAATATAAGTGATTAATATCAATTTTAATATTATATGTCGGGATACAGTAATAATAATAACAGATATAAAAGGTCAAAATAAAAATATGGACCACTATTACGGCGATTATTTCCCCTTGGTCCAGGAACACTTTGAGGTCTGGACTCAACTTGAGTATTACGACCACTTTTGAGGATGGCTGAAGCCCAAGCCATGGGTCCTTGTGGCTGAGACGTAGGTTGAGTGACTTGTTGATTTGTGACAGAAGCTTGAACGGCATTAACCACAATTTCATCTTTTGCGTTAACAGTACCGATTTTCTTTGCGTCAGAACTGCTTTGCGCAATTGGTTCACCGTTAATTGCCGATTTAACAGGAACAACTTCACCATTAGTGACATTAGAAGTGGAGTTTTCACTAGCTACGACACTTAATTCCGGAGTCTTATTAGAGTGAACCGAAGGTAAACCGATTATTTCAGTAGTATTATAAATCCATGAAGAAATCTCAGCTTCATGTTGTAATGTAATGTTAGATACTTTTCGTGGAGGACGTTGTAATGTTTCTTTTTTTCGAGGAGGTAAAATTAGAGAAGTAATAGTTGTATCAGGATCTAAAAAGTTTGACAAAATATCGTCCCATAGATTTTCTTCAAGAATTTTATGATAAGGTTTAATTTTCTTTAAAATATCTTTACTGGAAATTTGAAAGTATCTAATGTGAGGAAGACAATTTTGTAAGGTAACACTTAAAGACTTAAAATTCTCGTCGGTCCATTCTTTAGGGTTAGGTGGTAAATTTGGAATTTTCTCTTTTCCCCAAAGAATTACTTTATCCCAAATTTCAGATTCATCCATTTGCAACTCGTCATTCTTTAAAAGAGAAATTAGAGCATTCTCTTGGATAGTAGTAAAATCATCAGAGTTGAAGATCATACTTGGATGTTTTGCGATAATATTATTAAAAAATTGTTGTAAAGGTTCAAAGGTTTCGTTAAGAAAACTTATTTTATAAACACGAGAAAAATTTAAACGTAGCCAAGATGCATTGTTATCAATAAGATGAGATTGAAGACATTTAACTAATTCTAAAAGCTTAAATTCGTTGGCAGTAATTAGGAAATCAAATATAGCTGAAACTTCAAATTTTTCTAAAGAAACTATACCGCCGTAAATATATCTATATAGTTAAATAAAAAGATCAAAATTAAAAATATTTCATAATAAATAAAAGAATTATAATATATAACTTACCTAATAATAATATTAAATAGTTTGACAGAGACATGAGGTAATTTAACTTCAATAACATTATTTTTCTTGATCGCATTCTCTAATTTTTGACGAAAGTATAAAGAACGTTGGTATAAGATTGATGAATGTGCTTTAAAAAGTTGAATATCAGGTTGTTCTCCAACTTCAATTACTACATTATAATCATATTCGCTTTCTAGGAGTTGTGTAAAGTCGTGTGAAAGTTGTTCAAAAAATTTTAAATTCATTGTTTTTTATGGTGGTAACGGTAACCATATTTATGTATTACATGTAGTACGAAAAAATTAAACTAGTATTCAATTGTAGATGAATACGTATCGAAAATTTTTTGCAATAAGTAAAATCATATAAAGCGTGAAATAAGCGATTTGCAAACTCGATTTAATAATTTCATTTAGAACTGGAATAATTTACTCTAAATTTTTGATAGAAGTTTATTTAGTAAAAAAAATAAATAAATAAATAAATTTCATTATATAAGCTAGCTGCATTTTATAATCAATTTTTTACAATGAAACTTACTGCGATTCACCTCTTAAATTATGAGCAAACTTAGTTTTATAACTTCATGTTAAAATGTAAATTATTAATAACTTAATGAAAGCTTCGTAAAAGTTTATAAAAATTTTTTTGTACAATAACTTAATGTTCTTATATTCCGAAAAAAAAAAAAAAATCGAGCTTCTATAAAGTAACTGCAATCAACCAATAGGTATGAAACAATATTTTAATAAATTAATATCAGATATGTATATGATATTAAACATTGTACTTAAAAAAACTTTGTTCAAGCGTGAAGGGTGCGATTTCTGTATCGATAGATTTAAAAAAAATTTCATTTAAACTTTGCATAATTAGAAAACCAAAGGTTCCTAACTATCATATCGTTATATTATTGACTAATTTAAACCATCCGCCCAGATCTCAACGAAAGCACCCTTTATAAAAATCACTTTATAAATCATGAAATAAATATACAAATTCTTGATTAAACCGATGGTGAAATGATGGATCGTGAAATAATCATTATGAGCGTATTAGAATTAATATATATTAAAGTTAGTGAATTTTTTGGCAAAAAAAAAAAAAACAAAACAAAAACGCCTTAGTAATAAATCAAGTCTGTCGTTAGAGTAAATAAAAAAAGATATATCTGATACTTATATATATAAACTAATATAAGAATGTTATTAAATACGTTTGAACGAATTCATACACCAATATTTAGTTTCTCCATTTTTTTTTTTTTCCTGCTTGTTTAAAGACAATTTTTTTAATAAAAATTTTTTCTCAATATATATATGATTTTCGCGGCTACATTAAGTCTTGTAAGATGCGGAATATTTATTTACTGCATTATTCCGTTTTTATTACGCACTAACGGTAAAAATCAAATTATATATATATATATAGTACCTGCATTATTTTAACTCATTTTACAAAATTTCAGCTAACTCATGCACGGGAAGTCTTCAAGTACGCGTAATATCAGACCTAGAACCAATTAAATCATGTAAAACTTTCGTAGGAACAATATTAATATCCTCACTCCCAATTTCTGATCTGGTCATCCCTGGTATACAAAATCTTGAAGGCACAGTAGATGTCAATTCAAACAATAATATACGTCGAGTTTCATTCCCAAATTTAGTATCAGCCACACGTATTTTAGTTTCAAACCAAACCTCTTTAACCACTTTAGAATTTCCTTTACTCCAAAAAGTTGATACATTAACGGTTAAAAAATTACCAAGTTTAACTGATTTAACTTTTTCCGCAGGGTTAACTGAGGCCAATAATTTAGAGATAACAGAAACGGGCGCAAGGGGGATATATGGACTTAATGTAAAGAAAATGTCAAGTTTACGAGTACATGATAATCAGCAAATGGAAAATTTGCAAATTCCAAATGTGAAAAGCATTGATACGATTTATATTACTGGGAATGGAAGGGGAAGACTTAATTTAACTGTAAGTTATTATTTTTCAAAAATAACGTATTTTACACAAAAATAACCATTATTTTAATTAATTATTTTATTTTTACATAATTTTTTTTTTTTTTAAAAAAGACACCATATTTGGACACTGTAAATGATTTAACGATTAAAAACGCGGGCTCACTTGCTGTTTCCGCTCTTTCCACTATATCTAATAACCTCGTAATATCTGAAAATATTTTCCCTTCCTTTACATTCCAAAACCTACATTCAGTAGCAGGTACTATAACAATAGATAGTAACCAATTTCTCAAATCCACAAACTTTCCTGAACTTCAAACGGTTGGCTCTGCTTTAGTGATTTCTAATAATCCATCCCTCGAAATTATCAGTGGATTTCCAAAGTTAGGACAAATAGGTGGATCAGTGGATGTTACAGGATCATTTTCTGAATTTGACGTATCAAAATTAGATGATATTAAAGGTGGAATAAATGTACAAACAACATCTGAAAGATTTAAATGCGATACAATTGATAAGTTAAAGAATGATGGTGTTGTTAAAGGAGATACAGTTGTTTGTTTGGCGGGAACTAAAGAACCGAAAAGTGTTGTAGCACAGCCTAAAACAGGTGTACCAGAGAATAAAGATACAATTAAATCATTTGGTGGAGGGGATAATAAAGGATCAACGAATAGCTCAGTAAATGAAACTAAAACATTACTCAACAGTGGTGTCAAACATAAAATGAATCATTTTGATGTCCTCTTTAGAACATTAATCGGTTTAATTATTTTAGTTATAATTTACTAATTTCTATAAAATTTAATTTTGAAAAAGTTTTATACGTTTAAATTCATTATATATTAGATTAAAAACTTTGATATTTTCATTTCATGTATTACTTATACGAATATTAGCGAATATTAAAGCATTCACAGGAATCTTGTATACAAACTTGCTCTCTTGTCGATTGTCAAATTTATGTGGCTACACAAAAGGATACCGCTAAAAAAGAATCGGTATACAATATTAAAGTTACATAATATATTTTAAGTGCTATGCAAAGGCTTAACTGTAAACAGCAAAGCCATAAATTCAAACTTGATGATAACAAGATATTTATACTTTAATAATAAAACATAAATCTTTATCAACCTTCGCTTGTTTTATTTGTTTACAAATTCAAATAGTAAATTTTATAGTCCCCCCGTAATAAGTATTTCACCATATTAAGCTATATCTAAACCTTATTTACACACGTACAATACAATACGTACCGATAACGCATTAACAATGATATTATTGAATTAAACAAACAAATGATCATAATAAACATAATAAACTTTCTTCTTATCACGTGCGCACTACTACTCTTACCACAGTCTACAATCTCTTTAAAAACTATTACATATGCTGAGTCTAATCTTTTTCCTGTAGAATTTGATACCACAACAGATGGAACCGCAATTATTCGTTTACAACAACGCCTTCCAAATAAACAATGTGCTGAATCAAGAGTTATAATGAGATATATTTTGCCGAATGGTGTGTTAGTGGCAAACGATGTGGATTTTAAATTTGATCCTATTAATTTTTGTCCCGTGGATAAAATTGAGATTCATCCTTTATTAGAAAAGTTTAGTTTAGTTTTGTATTTAAATTCTACGAACTCACAAGTAAGTACCGGAAATATATCGGTACAATATGCTGCCATTATAATTGGCCAGGATGGTAAAGTTGTTCAAAGGTCAGTAATCTTTAAATTTGAATCTCGGAATACCTAGAGTTATTTTTAAAGTCGGACCTTTATATGAAAATTAGTAATTTTCCTCCACTGAGTATTCCATTCATGTCCGATACACCTGTAAAGACAAAAACAGTTGTGAATGGTAATGGTGATTTTTTGTGGACATTTAAACCTGATAATAATCAATCAATTACTTATGCCAAATTCACTTTACAGTAAGTTCTTTTAATGTTTAATTTTGTTTTAAATTAAAATATATAACTTAATAATATTTAATATCAACTTTTAAATTCAGAAAGCAAAATATTGCAATAACAGATCCTACTATACCACCGATAATTACAATGTCTGTAAACGGAATATATCAACTACCAACCAATCTCAATCTTGAACTTTTAAATTATACTACTTTTCCTACGTTTTATGGTCATTTCGGGATTGTTTTCACTGCTAGATATAATATTCCCTCTTCGTCAACATCACAATTACTTCTTTATTGCACTTTTCTAATCTTTGAGACAAACAATTTCATACCACCATTATCTATATACACTCCTACAACACCATTAACAACATTAGAAATTATGCAATGTGGTGAATCATCATTTGAAGGGATAGGATTTAAATGTTTAATAACAGCTACTTCTAATGATAATAATAATAATTCAATTTCTAGAATGCAAATTTCATTTTTATTAACAGGTTTTATAACTGAATTAACTTCAATTCCTATTGTTAATAATAATATTACATCAAATTCTATAAAAATTATATTTTTTGATCCTTTATATTTTGGTGGATATTTACAAAGAATTTATTTAAATAATGGTGAAATTATTGGAAATATTTTTGATATTAAAGGAAATTTAAAAGGAAATTGGGATTTAAATTTTTCAAATATAAATTTTACTAATATTATTATTAATGGTGGAACTAATAGAAATAAAGTTGGTAGTTTAGGTGTTTTTTAGAAATAATACTGTGATTTTGGTTTTAGGTGATGGTGGAAATGGTCAATCATGGAGTATAGTAACGACTGATATTATTAAAATTTATAATCGAGGTAATAATTTATAATATAAATTAAACAGTATCATATAAAATTTATTAACTTTGACTATGAATTTTTTTTTGAATTTAAAAGATAAATCTCTGATAAATCCAAATATATTATCGACTTCTTTACCGATAAGCACCACAATTCCGTTAGAAATGACTCCATTTATTATTACATTTTCGAAACCTATTAATTTATCAACCGGAAATATTTCAATATTTCAGTTTATTTCTCCAACCAACATTTCAAACAGTAATATTTTGTTGAGACAAACATTTCAAGGCAAATCAAATAAT